GGACCACAAGAACCGGGACTGTTTAGCATAGAGAAAAGGCAAGTGAGGGAAGCCATGACAGAGGTGTACAGAAGTATATATGGTGTGAAGAAAATGGAGAGGGAGGTATTCTTCTCCCTCTCTCATAATGCTAGAGCCCAGGGTCATTCCATGAAATTCAACATCCTAACACAGCACATAGTTGAACTATGGAAGCTGTAACCACAAGATACAGTGATGGCCACATATTTGGATGGCTTTAAAAAAAGAATGGACAAACTTCGGAAGAAGTCTATCAGTTACTGGTAATCCTGATGGCTATATGCATCCTCCAGTTTCAGAGGAAATATGCTTAAAAGAGAAGTTACTGGGGAACATGACCAAGAGGGTGATGTGGCACTCATGTCTTGCTTGTGGGTTTTCTGTGGACATCTGGTTAGACTGTGTGTGAACAGAATGATTGGTCAGATGGGCTCCTGGTCTGGTCTTGCTTGATTCTTCTTACTTTCTTATCCCTGTGAAAGCTCAAACACATTGATTTAGGAAGACTGAAGTGGTCCTCAGAAGTCTGCCTGGTGGCTTTGGAGTTAGTTTGAATGTCATTTCAAGGGTCCTTTACTGTCCAGTGCTAATAACAGCAAAGAGAGTTTGTGCAGAATCCCATATGCCCACTGCACTTTTTGCACCAGCTGGACCTACCAATAGTGCAATAAGAAGTAGCATTTCCTAAGCAATCTCAGAAATGCATGGAAATACTCTTCTGAAATGAGACAGGTCAGCATTGACCCCACTGCCCTCTCTAAGCAGAGTTCTCAGTGTGGTTGTCTTGAGGCAATATTCTTAAGACCTTACACTGGCAATCTGGTGCTGCATTCTTGGCCAAGAAGACACAGGTTATATGCAGAGATGAATATTTTTTCTTTCTGCACAAGATGGTGGCAAGTAAGGCCATTGCATGTACTATGAGGTCACTGTGTGCTGGAAGCAGATCTGTAAAGGAGGCAGAGACTTGACTTCACAGCCCACTAGGGGAGGAACCCCAAATCTCTGGGAAGTCATCTGCCTCGTGGCCCAGCTGTCTACAAGCACTTGCTGAAATCAAGGAATGGGTCCATGGATGTTCTGTGTTGCATCTGATCCCCTCAGGATTAGCTGGCTTTTTGCCTGAATTTTTTTATTTCTTGAAATCAAATGCCCTCTCTCACTTGTCCATACATCCCTTTTTTAGAATCAGGGGACAGGATACTTTAAAGGCATACACAGAGACTTCAGAGCATATGTAAACTGTTATGTGCATATTCATGCTCCCCCTCCCCTGGTGGAGCTGAGCCCTGGATCCTTTTGGTACTTAGTGCGGCCTCTGGCTGACTTTGCTCTCAGAAGGAAATACAGGCATCATGGGCCTGCTCTAGCAATCAGATGTGGAACAGGAATCTGTTGGGGTGTTGATGTTGTGAATAAGTGCAGGCAGCAATGGTAGGATCCCACTATCAAGAATGCCCTGGGCTTGCTCTTCCTCTTCATTACCGCCTCGTCCTCTCATCCAGATAGTATGAGGACAGTCTGAAGGCACATAAGTCATCCACCACATTGAAGCCAAGCAGATCAGGGCTGGCCTGATCTTGGAGGGAAGACCACCTGGGAGCAGCATGTTGCCACCTTGAGTTCCACAAGGGGATCAATAAATCCCGGTGAGCAGTAGTAGATGCTGCAGCTGGCTTGCTCTCTGATTGTCAAGTGAGTGGTAGCAATGAAGAGCTGCAGCAGCTGGTGACAATGGGGATGAGAAGGTAGACAGTGCGCAAGGGGGGCATTGAGGGAATTTTGCCCATGAAACCCGTAAAAACCTGGCACTGGGACCGCTGTGAATCTCACTTTACGCTTAGCTCACAGATGTCCATAAATACATCTTGTATCACACAAGTGCCAGAAGTCTCCAGTGACCTAGGAGACTGCAACCTGGATAAGAACTGGAATACCAGAAATATCTCATGTTTTGATGTAGGGTGCACACACATAGCAATATCCAATATACACATGAATGTACAATTGCCATTATGTTTCTCTTTAAAAATGGTTACAGATTTTAAAAAGAAATTCCTACAAAGTGGTGTGGAAGGGCTGTTAAAAATGGCCCAGGGAGTCACAAATCGCCCTGGAAAGGCCCATGATTGAGCTGTGGGTATGATGTGTGAAATTACAGACTAGTGCAGCTGTGGCAGAGTGCAGAAGGGCTTGTGCTTTAATTTGGAAGCTTTACAAGCAGCCACCCGCCCACCTGGTGACTGGAAAGAAATGCGTCAGTCTGCAAGGAACAGGCAAATGAGGAAGGCAGCTCATAATCCAGCAAAATAGGAGAAACACCAGCCAACAAATAAATTAAAGCTATTGAATTTTATAGATGGTTGTTAGATTGGTCACCATACTGTGATACTCATAAGAGTAAATTTCTTGATTTGGTGCCCAGTGAATTTACATAAGAGTGATTTCCCTATATAGTACCAGAAAATTTTGGTAATTGGGTAGTCAAAAAGTGAAGCAGAGGTGTGTAGGGGGTAGTTATTTAAAAGAATTGGCTAGCTATCTAAAGACTGACCAACTGAATATAAACCTTATTAAACAAAGACACTGAAGCAGTCAGAGCCAAACTATATAGGAATTTTCACCTTTCTTCCATAATGTATGGTCCATAGGAAGTTGTCTACATGGGGCCAACTACCTCAGTATTGTACTCAGTACTGTCCATAGTGGTTGGGGATGTTGGGAACTGTAGTCCAAAACATTGGGAGGACACCTGGTTGCCTACCTCTGGCCTATGGTGGTAGCTGCTCTCCTTCCCAGGCATATTTGCAAATGCCAGGGGCTGAACCTGGGACTTTTTCCATGCTAAGCAAGTGTTCCCCTCATGACCAAGAGACAGTAGGTGGAGCACACTGAAAAGCTAATATTTTCGTATTAGCTTGCCTGTAAATTGAGATTATCATTGGATTCTCTTCTTGAGTATCCCTACTGACTGGTTCAGAACAAAGCAGCCAGGTTGCTATCAGGGACTGGCAGATATACACACATAATGTCAGTCCTGTACCAATTGCACTGACTTCCAATTGAAGCCCGGGCCCAATTTAAGGTGCTAGTGATGACTTATAAAGCCCTAAATGGCTTATGACCTGAATATTGGAAGGAGTAGCTCCTTCCATATATACCTGCCCAGCAACTAAGATTTGGAGCGGAGGTCCTTCATCAGGAGACCTCTTTGAAGGACATCAGAAGAGTGGTTACCTGGAGAAGGCCTTCTCTGAGGTGGCACCCCAGCTATGGAATGGGAACCTGGCCTGATACAACATGACTTCTCTTATGTTCTTAGGCTCTTGTGGCAGGGTGGGAGGAACCTAGATGAATGGCAGAGCACTGCTTTCCATGCAACTAGTCCAGGTGTAATCCCTGGCATCTCTGGTTTAAAAGAGCAGACACTGCAAAAGAAATGTCAGTTGTCAAAATAGACATTTCTGGGCTAGATGGAAAAGAGTCTGATCTGATAGTTACATGTGCTCCACATTAAACGTCTACTCTGACTTTCATTTTGGGTCATATTTCAGGTTGCTTTCACTCTTTTGTCCTACCACTCAGGTCAAGTTGTTCAAACACAACCTAGTTTTATCTATACTCAGATTTAGGGCACACTGTCTATTAAGAACACCTCACTATGTCCTGCTGGAATTAACTGGAGCACAATCTCTGTCTCCAAAAGGCTGCTTGACAGGCCTCGTTGGTTTCTGAGCTGTCAGCAGATCCTAATTCCCTGTGGATCATTAAGCTACTCTAAAGAAGTACAATCTATTCTTCTGCATTTTTGTGACCACATGAAGTCAGGATCAGGTTTACAGGCAGGGCTGTCCCTACCAGCAATGCAACTGCCTGAGGGTAACAGTCCAGGCAATATATGGGCCAATTGTTTCAGTTTCCAAAGAGAGTTAATTGCAATTTTTCCGCCACAAATCATCTCTCTTTCTCTTTGTGATGCGGAAGGGAAGGGGAAGGGGAAGGGGAAGGGGAAGGGGAAGGGAAGGGAAGGGAAGGGAAGGGAAGGGAAGGGAAGGGAAGGGAAGGGAAGGGAAGGGAAGGGGGGAAAAAAGCACAATTTTCATATTTTAGAGAACAAGCAACCAGTTATGCTGAAGTGCTGCATACAGGTGGTTTCAGATTTGTGCCTTTGGGCAAGTCTAAGTATTAAGAGAAATCAAATATTTTCTACTTTTGTCTTCAGAGTCTCTCCCACTGGCTCACTTGTGGCATGAACTGTGGTTATGTGATAGGCATAGTTATAATAAAAGTGTGGGCAGCATATATATATATATAGGGCTCTAAACTGCCTCAATTCTATAAACATCCATCCATTTTAGTCATCTCTACCAGAGACCAACTTTTAACAGAGGGTTACTTCTAACAAATTTGCATAAAGCCACAGTGCCACAAGCTGTGAAGTGAAAGATTAACCACATGGCACACTTCAAGGTTCTCCAAAATTCTTTGGTTTATTTTAGGCTACTTTGAATACAATTGTGAGCCTGGGGTAAAAGCATTTTAAAAGCATACTTAAGCAAGGCCAACCAAAATACCACAAAAGGTTCTGCAAGCTCTTGAAAAATTGCACAAACTTTTTTGGCATTTTGGTTAGCCCTGAGGCTCTTGCAAAGGACAGTACACAAATACCTTAAATAAATAAATAAATAAATAAATAAATAAATAAATAAATAATATTATTGCTAAACTATGGGATTTTGGATTCAGTGTTAATTTTGATTTCTCATTTTATTGCATGCTATCCTGTTCTCTTCTAAATTTCCTTCCTTCCTTCCTTCCTTCCTTCCTTCCTTCCTTCCTTCCTTCCTTCCTTCCTTCCTGTGTTTCTGCCAGGCATAATCAATCAATATGAAGAAAACCGAGGGCTGTTCTATACATTGCATCACAACAGGTAAGCTAATTAACTTTGGTTTAGATCTTAAGTTAACTTTAAGAAATTCATGGAAGGAGAATTTTTCACTCTGACCTTCTCCTAGCAGGTCCCATCAAAAAGCCTCCCTGGATGGCCAGGGCCATTCTTAAGTAAGTGAGTTGCTGAGAGAAGCAAAAATTGTCTGAGATTCCTGAGATTCTGAGCCTAAAACTGCTTGGGAAGGTTCACAAAAGGAACATTCCTCATTACCTCCTCCTTCACCCTGCAGCCCCTGCCCCCTACCAATGCAAGTCTCTCCAGAGAGTCAGCTCCCTAAACAATGTGGGACAAGGAGCTGTGAGTGGGTGGGGGAGAAAGTTAACTATCTGAGGATGCATAGCACAATCTCCAGGTAATGGAGGTTTCAGGGAGAATGGACTGACTCACCACCACATTGGCTGAACAGATAGTTCTGCCACTGGAAATCAATGAAGCAGCATGGAGACACTTCCCATGAAGGGGATTGCAGACAGATAGGTATACAGACAGGTAACTCTGAACAAGCTTACATTGAATCGGATCTTCCACTCTGTCTGGCAGCATTGCTAGGAGAGATTGCAGAGGTGATCTTTGCAGATATGCCAGGCAATGAGCCTGGGTGCTTCGGCATCCAGTCCATGTGCTCTATGGCTGAACCAGGGCTCCTTCCCTTGGGCCAGTCTTCCCCTCATGGCTGATCTACACATGCCTAGTGGCCAGCATAAGGGGCTTCTTTATTCACCCAGTGCTTTACTCATCAGTGTGGGTTAAGCATTATGCACACTCGCCCATTACCATAATTAGGTAAAGGTGAAGGAATCCCTGCAAATTTCACTCTGCTTAGCTAATGGCTAATAGGGGGAAGTGCTCATCTCCATTTCTAAGGCCATGAGCCAGTGCTGTCTGAAGACTACCCCACAGTCATGTGTCCAGCATGACGTCACAGAGTGCTGTTACCTTCCCACCAAAGTGGTACCTATTTATCTACTTGCATTACATGCTTTCGAACTGCTAGGTTGGCTGGGAGCTGGACTGAATGGCAGGAGATCATTCCATCTGGCAGAGGCTGGGCTCGAACCGCTGGAGTGCTGACCATTTCTGGCTGACAGTTCCAGCGTCATTCAGCTGCTGCACCACCGCTTCCCCCTCTGCCATAATTAATGAAGGTGATATTTAGGAGTGCATTCTTGGTGTTACCCATACAAGCAGAGGATTTGAGCCCACAAATTATTTATGCCCTTTCACTGAGAAAAGAAAACTATACCTCAAAGATAAAAAAAACCTGGTGGTCTCCAGAGGTTTGGACTACAAGTCCCAAATCCTCCAAGTGCTGGCCATGCTGCCCAGGGCTCACAGGACTTGAAAGTCAAAGCATCTGGAGGGCTCCTGGTTGCTTACTCAGCCATATATGGCATTGGCTTAGCTAGTGCATCAAAGACAAAGTGATTGAAAAACTCAGCATTGCAGAGCTCAAATGTTCAAAGGTTGAATGATCTGCACTTTGAGTTTAAGATGGTTTATATTTAAGAGCTACTGAGAAGACCACAACAGAATCCAGAGAAACAAGGATACTTACAGTGTAAGAACAATTTATCTACACTTCCACTCTTGGGTCTGTGAATCCACGTTTCCCTTCATTGACCAGGGTTGGCCTTTCAGTCCTTGTGTGCCAGACCAAGACCTATCAAAGGAACATGACCCTTATTAGCACTATATAGCTAAGCCTGGAGGCATCAGCAAAGGAACTTGACTGAAGAGTGTTGCAATGTCCCTGGAACATATTAGCAGCCTGAATGAAAGTACCTTTAGAGCAGGGGTAGACAACCTGTGATTCTCTGAATGGCTCGGCCTACAAACCATCACTGGCTATATTGATTAGGGCTAATGGGAGTTGTAAGCTAAAACATCTAGAAGGCCACAAGTTGCCCACCTAGGCATAGAGCATGTATGGCTATGTACATGTGACTCCTGAACAGGAATCAATAGGAGTCACAAGTCTTGTTGGAAGGACACATTTCACACATATTCTTTGATGGTAAGAATTCTTTGATTCTTGGGCAGGGATGGGCTACTGTGTTCAGCTGAAGGCTAAAGTAAGACACATACACTAGACACATACACATACACATACAGCACTCTGCTGGACAGCCCTCTTATAAACATGGGGAAAGTAACCCTGGGGAGCCATAGGATACTTCAGATTCCCAGATCTGATGTGGGAGACAGAGCTTTGACCTGGGAATCCATGCTCCAGTCTCTCTCTCTGCTTGTAGTCAGTGCGAAAGAACTCCACTAGCTGACCTCTGATGGGGATAAAGCGTACAGGAGAGAAGGGAATGGGGCTGCCAAGATACAACATATCTTGATGGTTCTCCAGCCTCCTTTCTTTCCCTTCCAAAGTGTCTCAGCTAGATGGCTGTAAGCAGCTGACTGGTTAAAAGGGAGAGAAGGAGGCATGGGGAGGTGGAGATCCCCCCACTACTCTTCTCACATTGCACTGAACGCTCATACGTCTCTGACTTCAGGGGCTTGGGAACATGGAGGGGTTAATGAATAAGATTATACCCTTAATGATTTTCATCTGTGGTTATTGCTATTTATTCACAGGCTTGCTACACACTTGAGCCATGTGAGGTGTTACTTTTTTCGAGCATTCCTAAGAGGTAGGTGTATTCCTGAATATATAGTTGCATGCTTGTGCAAAAGTTGAATGCAACAAGTAGGGTTGTTGCCTATGCTGGACACTACTGAGAAACTCAGCAATGAACATTGCTTGGTTGTGGATCTTTGTTGAGAGATCTCTCAGTGTTGAACCAGCTCTGTGTTTGTGCAATGTATGAAATGACCTTGAGAGAGGCTGCTACAGCTGGGGACAGAAAACTGACTGCGAGGGCTGTTACTTATTTTTAGTTTTTCTTCCTCCCCCTATTTTTAAAGATATATGTTTCCCAAGCATGGATCTCCAGATGTTGTTAAATCTCAGTTTCCACAATCTCTAGCCAGGGACATTGGCCAGAGATAATGGAAGCAGTAGTCCATCAACATCTGGGGATGAAAGCTTGGGGTTGACTTGGTAGATGTCTGTTATTCAAACTTGACATCTGGTTCAAACTTGACATCTGGTTATTCAAACTTGACATCTGGTTGATCTTGCCAGATGGAGGCAGAAAAGAGATTTTCTTAAGAAAAGTCGTGACTTTGCAGTTTCCCTTTTTTGGTCTGCCATTGCTGTATATCACTCGGTTCATTAACTTGCTTCATCTGGAGCTATGTTTTCTGCAGGCCAACTTTTTTGAGGGCACCTGCTCTCTGCCTGTACATACTTTTGTCTGGATTGCTGAAGGCTTGATATGTAGCTAGTCCTGTGTCTAAGCCGAAGTCTGAATTTTTGCATCAACAAATTCCATTGCATCAAAAGATTTATGATTTATGCAATTGTTCTTGACTGAAATATCAATTAGGTGCAATCTGGGATGCAAAGTATGCAAAGTCAGTTGTTTGGTATGGAAGGTCTTCATGTGTGTACAAATTATATAAGATATGTGCAGAAGAGTAATGGCTTTCGGTGTGAAGTCATCTGTCGTACTTACCTTTGTGCAGTTGGCGGCTTTGGGTTCTAATCCATCCATTGTCACTAGATCCTTCAGTAAACTAGTTTCTTGGTAACCTCCTTTCACTCCATCCAACTTGAAACTGGCCTGTGGCTTTTCCAGGATCAACTTGATGCTGATGGCAAAGCCAGCCATGTCGATGGCAAAGGGTCGGTTAGGGTCGAACACCGTCTTCCAGCCCACCACTTTACCTGCTGGGCTTACTTTTGGAGATTCATACTTGAGACCACCAACAAAGGCAACTGGCCATACAGAGACCTTCTTTGTGTAGCGCATCTGCTTGGTAAAAAGAAAACAAACTAGTAACAGGAATATTTCTAATCCCTTTACAATGCACTAGGATTTCCCCCCCCAACTTTCCCTCCACACACATGGTTATTTCCCCAAGTGTTGGCTTCTAGCATTCTCTCTAATTGCCCTCATATGCTTGCTCTTTTCCTTCTCCATTTGCACTCTCAATCCGCCTTGCTTTGTTCCATTGCCTTCTGAATAAGCCTCCAAATCTGTTGCACTGCTGAGTTGTACCTTTCTGGCAGGGTGAAGGAAAGTCTCCAAATATGCCTGGCAGTTGTCCATGCCTCTCCAGGCAGGATCATGACATTATCCTAGGACCTTTGCTTTATCTCCAGACATCATACACACGCTCCTCTTTTGCTATCTATATTATTTGTACTAATTTCCCCTTCAGTTTAAAGCCAAAGCATTTCAGCTATCTTATGCTGAACTGGATCATAGGCAAGGTCTTCCTTCCCCAGTCTGGTGCCATGTGGCCTGCAGCTGATGTGGATTATAGTCCAAAACCTCTGGAGGGCCCCAGGCTGGGGAAGCCTGTCACAGGAATCTTACTGAGCACTAACTGGAGATGCCAGCAACTGAACCAAATCACTGATCTGTAGCAGGCTACCTTTCCACCCAAAGAACTTGTTGTGCGTCAAAAGAGCTATAGCTGGAAGAAAGTGACTGCCAATGTGTCTGGATCAGGAACCAAACAATGAAGTAACTCTGCACTTGACTTCCATACCTCTTCAAACAGCTCTAGGCTATAGGTGTTATCATCATCAGCGAAGTATACTACGCCTTCTGGTGGTGGCGTGGCACTGAAACTTTCCCTCAACCAATGTAGTCCGAGATTCCTCTGGAATGTGCCCCTCGGAGTATGAGACGGGATCCAGGACAGGCCTACTTTCAGACTCTTAGGAGTCTCAATGTTCAGATGAGTAAAATTGATCCCTGCCTTCTCCAAGAGGTTAGACACGAGGTTGGTCCTTCTGGGTGAGTCCTCCACCACTACCCAGTGGAGGTTCTGCACGTGGAGGAAAGTGTTAGCCAGTCGGGTCAGCTCAGCCTTCTGCACTGGTCGGGTGTAGGTCGGTGTGATCACAAATATAGCAGGCAGGTTGTCCGACCATGGCGGAGGCCTCGCATACATGTAGCTTCGGATTATTTTGGGAGCAGCCCCGATGGCTGGCGGCCGACAGGATGAGAGCCCATCCTCCCTTACTAAAGATGTGCTATTGAAGAGAGATTTGGCTGTCACATTTTCATCTGTTTCCTCTAAGGCAAAAGGAAGAAAGAAAATAAAGCATAACGTATCTGCTGTGACACTTCTCTGAAAGTTTACATTCAGGCCCTTTCCCATTCTCCTTTGGATTCCAGTTCTCTTTCCTCTGGGCATTTTAAATTTGATCAGCTTTTTAAAAGTGCCAAAGAAACAACAGGCTAATTAAAAACAGAGAACACAGAGGATGGTGGAAGTTATGCTTTTATCAAACCCAAATATCCTTTGGAGAAGAATAGCTCTGCTAAGAGTTTGCAAATGTGAAGCATACAGATCCAAACCTCACCAGAATAATGTCTTGCATTAGTGTACTTGAATATGGGTGTCAATTCCCCTTCAGTGGGTGTATTGTTCAATTATGTGAAATATTTAGTCCTTAGAGGAGAGCTGATGAGTTGTACAAATTTGATGTTGCTGGGTTGCAACCAAGATTATTTAGTTATTTCTAACATTCCTGCTGCTGTAGGAGACATTATCACCTCTGTATCTCCTACCTGGTACTTTCTTGGGTCCAAAGGTTCAGCTCACCTCCACAGTCTAAAGCAAACAGGGCTTCCATCTACCTTTGCTTCATTATTTGTGTTTATGAGGAGGGACAGTATCTAGCAGACACACTGGGCACTGGTATTGGCCATGTGTTCCTCTGCACTGAGAGAGTGGAAGGTTAAAGAAACCCATGGGGTGCAACCTGGCAATCATACAGCAGAGGCTAAGGCCAACCTATGGTCTCTGAGCCTAATTTCAAGAGTTCTTTCCAAGTGATCTGTTCAGATGTTGAGTGAAAGCAGTCCGGCAGCCTGTTCAGTAGGAAGAAAGATGGAGAAAGAGAAGGGAATATCAGAAAGAGAGAAACAAAGAATGGGTGGCCGCACTTAATTTTGATTCTGCACTTTGCTGGATTCAGCTCTGCCTTCCAACAGATTACATAGTTGTTCCCTAAAACCACTCTGCTAGAAAGTATTTTAATTTGGAGTGGGGAGGATTAATGAAATAGAAATGCTTATTTCTTGCCAGTATTGAAGATGGTTCTTAAAATTTACGGATTGTTTGGTACAAACCAATGCATTTCAATGGTCCTTCCCAGTCTTTTTCATACATCTGGAACAGTGGCCATTTCTTCCTGGGTCTTGTGCTACTGTGCTTCTTTTTTCTCACAGTAACATCGCTATGAAAGAAACAAAGCAATTTGCAGAGGCTTTTGTGTTTGTACTTACTTCTCAGGAGGCTGAGGTAGCGGGTGGTTGGGTACTGATGCCACAATGTTAGGAGGAGACCCCATGGCAAAGCAATCAGAAGTGTGGTGAGAAGGTTACGTCTCCTCAGCATGCTGCAGAGAACTTCTGGTGCCCGGGCATCTCCCTACCTTCCAGAATTAAGTAAGGGATGGATTAGAAAAGTGAGACAGGCACAGAATAGAGAGGATGAAACAATAAATTCTTAAGATTTGCAGATGTGGTTCAGTTCTCCATTTCAGTCTGCAAATTGGTGGTTTCTCTGATCATAACCCAGCACATGATCAGCTCTTTGTTTCTCTTACACTTTCAAAGTACTTACATATTTTGTCCACCCTTGGTTAAAAAAAATCCCGATCATTATGATTGTTGTACTCATGCGTTGTTTCCTTTTGGTGCTTGCCTCTTGGCAGAGCAGCAGAGGCACAGGCTGGGAGAGAGTGCTGAGTGGCCAGGGGACTGGTGAAGGCACGGTAGGAGCTGGGCAGGGGAGCAGAGGGCCAGGAGCAGCGGAGAGGAAGGGAGGTGGGCCAGAGAGGCTAGAGGGGCCAGGAGGAAGCGGACAGGTGGGGCCACCGGCCTGAGGGACTGATAAGGCCGCACTCAGCCACTGCAAGCCCTTTTGGCTCTGGCCTCTTGGCAGAGCCGCAGAGCAGCAGAGGCAGAGGCTGGGAGAGAGTGCTGAGTGGTCAGGGGACTGGCGAAGGCAAGGGAGGAGCTGGGTAGTGGAGCAGAGGGTCAGAAGCAGCAGAGAGGAAGGGGGCAGGGCCAGAGAGGCTAGAGCAGCCAGGAGGAAGAGATGGGCGGGGCCACCGGGCTGAGAGGCTGATAAGGCGTCATCCCTTGTCTGTGTTCCTTAGCTGCGACCCAGGCTACCTGGGGACTACCTTCCTTGGGGGGCTGAGGGTTTTGTTTTGTTTTTGGTGCTGTGCTGTGCTTTGCTTTGTTTTTCCTCCAAAATAATATTTTATTTTATCCTTGTGTGTTTGTGTGTGTGCGCGTATGTGGGTTTTTGTCTGGGAGAACTGGGTGAGTGAGGGGTAGCCCAGGACAGACAAGGCGGAGGACCAACGTAGGGTCTTGGAAAGGATCCCAACGGCAGACCAGGAGATGGCCTTGGTGGGAGTCAAAGGTGTTGCTGTCCTCTGCGATGGCTGCAACATGTTCGCCCTTCTCCCCCAGGAGAGGCATGGATACACTTGCCCTAGGTGCAAGCTGGTGGCCCTGCTAGAGGAGGAGTTGAGGTGCCTGAGGGCAGAGAGATCTCTCCAGGCCCCCCGGGAGCAGCCCCCCTCTGGACAAAGGGTTGAGGGAGAGGCCACGGGAGAAGCAGCTGGGGAGACATGGAGGCATGTCACCCACAGGAGGAGGAGGCCAGCACGGCCTCCTTCTCCTGGCACCAATCTGGAGCAGGAAAACAGGTTCTCTCTGCTTGGGGAGGCTGGGGCTAATGAGGCTGTGGGGGACCAGCAGGACCTCCAGCCTGGGACCACAAGCAGCAAGGGGATCACTGCAGGAGAGGCGAGGGCCAGGGCACAACTGCCTACCACCACTGGGAAGACACAGTGGTGGTGATTGTCACTGGGGACTCCCTGCTGAGGGGCACTGAGGCGGCGGTGTGCCGCCCCAACTTGGAGACAAGGGAGGTTTGCTGCCTGCCGGGCTCACGCATCCGGCATGTGAAGAACAGAGTGGAGCATCTTGTTTACTCCAGGGGTCATCAGCCACTACTGGTGATCCATGTGGGCACAAACGATGTGGTCAGGCAGGGTGTGGTCAGGATCACCAGGGACTTCAAGGCCTTGGGGAAGAAACTCAGGGAGCTAAAGGCCCAAGCAGCCTTCTCACCAGTCTTGCCAGTCTGGGGATTTGGGTCAGGCAGGGACAGGAGAGTTTCCGAGGTGAACAACTGGCGTAGGGTGTGGAGCCAGAAGGAACGCTTCAGGTTCCTTGACCACGGCACCCGGTTTCTTGCCAATGGAATTCTGGCAAGGAACAGGTTGCTCCTCACGAGGATGGGGAAAAGGTCCTTTGAAGATGCTCTAGCGAGCTTCGTCCAGAAGACTTTAAATTGAGCTGGGGGGGGGGTTCAGGCCCCCCAGAGACATGTCTGCACTGGACAAGTGTGGGGAGAGGATCAAGGCTCTGGGAGCAGGGTTTTAGAGGTACTGCAGGGACTGACAGGACTCCTACAGAGAAGAGCCAGGTATCAGGGAGGATGGGAGGAAGGAGGAGGCTGGGAATTCCAAGGAAAGGAAGCATTGGGAAGGAGTTGAGGTGCATGTACACTAATGCTAGGAGCATGGGTAATAAGCAGGAAGAGCTTGAAGCAATCCTGGGAATAGGTGGGTATGATCTAGTGGGAATCACAGAAACTTGGTGGGATGAAAGGCAAGACTGGAATGTGAACATTGAGGGGTATCACCTTTTTAGAAAGGACAGGTCAGGAAAGAGGGGTGGGGCGTGGCTTTATACGTCAGGGAAGGGATAGGATGCAGTGAGGTAGAATGCAGCACATGTAGAGGCAGTCTGGGTGAAACTTAGGGGTTTTGACAGGGAAGGAGACCTGACAGTGGGGGTATGTTATCACCCTCCAGGTCACCTTGAGACCCTGGATGATGTCCTGACAGACCAGATTCTAAGGATATCTTGGGGGAGAGACACAGTAATTATGGGAGATTTCAATCTCCCAGATACTAGTTGGGAGACTCACCCAGTGGTGACAGCCAGGTCCGGTCACATTACTTCCTAGACGGTACAGAGGGAGGGTTTTTCATGCAGAGAGTTCGAGAGGCGATGAGTGGGGGGGAACATCCTTGACTTGGTCTTGACCAACAGGGAGGAGCTGATAGATGGGGTACAGATTAGGGAAGCTCTGGATGCGAGTGACCACTCCATCCTTTGCTTTGAGATCAGGGGAATGGGGACGGGCAGCAGGTCGAGCACTAGAAGCTGGGACTTCAAGAGGGCCAACTTTGGCCAACTGAAGGCCAGACTGGGAAAAGTCTCCTGGGATAGGTTACTGGAAGGTAAGCGAGTTGAGGAGGGGTGGATAGCACTCAAAAGGGAGGTTTTGGAGGCGCAAGCCTTGACGATACCTCTAGTCAGTAAGGTGGGGAGCCGGAGCAGAGCACCGCCATGGAAGCGAAAGTAGGTGGTTAGAGGGATTAGATGAAAGAGGAACCTCTGTAGGAAGTGGGTACTGGGGCAAATAGACAAAAGGGTATACTGGGAAGAGGAGGCCTGTTGCAGAAGGATTCTTCCCAAGGCTAAGGCTGATTACGAGCTGAGACTTGCCAAGAATATCAAGAGCAACAAAAAGGGCTTCTTTCAGAATGTAAATGGGAAGAGCAAGGGGAGACAAGTAGTGGGACCACTAACTAAGGATGAAGGAGATCCAGTGACTGATACAAGGGAACAGGCACAGATGCTAAATGACTATTTTTCCTCTGTGTTCTCCCCAAAGCAAGATGGGGGAGATCTGCATAGGAGATTAGATGAGGTCGGGGACTTAGGGGCACAGATTAAAGTCACGCCCCTAGAAGTCGAGGGGCTCTTCAGGGCATTGGACATTGAAAAGGTGCCATGCCCTGACAGGTTACACCCAAGAGTACTTAGAGAGTTGGCAGGGGTTCTCTCTTGCCCGCTGGCCTCCATTTTTGAGGCCTCGTGGAGAACAGGTGAAGTTCCAGAGGACTGGAGGGTGGCATCAGTGGTCCCAATTTTCAAAAAGGGTAGTAGTTGTACAAGGGACATGGGGAATTATAGACCAGATAGCCTTATGTCTATTGTAGGAAAAACAATGGAAAGGCTCATAATAGAGAGAGATCTAGTGATGCTAGATAGGAAAGGGAGACTGACAGACACACAACACGGCTTCCACAAAAACAGGTCCTGCCAGACAAACCTTGTGGAATTCTTCAACAAGGATTCGAGATGGCTGGATGTAGGGGATGCAATGGATGTGGTTTACCTGGATTTCAGCAAGTCCTTTGACAAAGTGCCCCATGATATCCTGGTTGAAAAACTGAGGAGTTTTGGAATAGACCAAAGCACTGTCTGATGGATTAGGGCATGGTTGACTGACCGAAAGCAGAGGGTAACCATTAGTGGGGAATCATCGGGATGGCGGCCAGTGATAAGCGGGGTCCCCCAGGGCTCTTTCCTGGGGCCAATTCTGTTTAATCTTTTCATAAATGACATGAAAGAAGGGGCGAACAGTCTTCTGATCAAATTCGCAGATGATACTAAAACTGGAGCAGTGGCCACAACTGAGGAGCAGGTACTCCAGATCCAAAAGGATCTGGACAGACTATGAAAGTGGGCAGGAGACAACAGGATGGCATTCAATGTGGATAAGCGCAAGGAATAGGTGTCATAAGTACAGGTTAGGGGACAAGTGGCTGGAGAGCAGCACTTGTGAAAGGGATCTCAGGGTGCTGGTTGACTGCAGGCTAATCATGAGTCAGCAGAGTGATGCAGTGGTCAAGAGGGCGAACGCCACCCTTAGTTGCATAGCCAGAACTATGGCTTCTAGATCGAGAGAGGTATTACTACCACTTTATACGACTCTGGTGTGTCCGCAACTGGAGTATTGTGCTCAGTTTTGGGCCCCTTATTACAGTAAGAATATAGCCAGGTTAGAGTCACAATATAGTCAGGTTAGAGAGCGTAGGGCCACAAGGTTGGTGGCCAGTTTTCAGGGGATGCCGTATGAGGCAAGACTGAGAGAACTGGGTCTCTTCAGCCTGGAGAAGAGGAGAGTCAGAGGGGATCTGTTGGCGACATACAGGTATGTGAGGGGATGTCACACGGAGATGGGTAGAGACATGTTCTCCCCTGCAGAGGAAGGCAGGACGTGCTCCAAAGGAGCAAAGGGAACCAAGGTTCCATTTAGATGCCAGGAAGCACTTCCTGACAGTTAGGACTCTGAAGGTATGGAATGGGCTTCCATGAGATGTGGTTGAGGCCCCATCGGTGCGGGTGTTCAAAGATAGGCTGGACATCCACATGGTGGGCATGTCGTGAGTGGAGCTGGCTGGAGCCGGGGGTCAGACTAGATGGCCCAGGAGATCCCTTCTGACTCACTCTGTTTCCATGTTTCTAAGTTTCACTCTGTCTTTGGTTGGCGTAGTAGCTAAGCCTAAACAGCTGCAGCTGCAATACAGCAATTACTTTTCAAAAAATGTTCTAGCACATGCAGAGATGTAGATTTGCTACAAAACCACTGCTGAATTTTCAGTTAATTTTCTGTAGGCGAACATGAGACAGTCACTTATGCAGGTCAGTCAACTGCCTCATTTAACTCTTTGGGACATTCACTCCATCACAAAATATTTATGAATTATTTTAGTGCTAATCGAAGACTTCAATCCTATGCACACTTACCAGGGAGTAATTCCCATTGCACACAGAGGGGCTTTGGGCCAACCAGACAATGGCTTGTTTATCAAACATGGGATCACTGGCTTGACTATAAAGCACAGTTAGCTGTTAACTCTAAAAGTTATGCAGGGGGTTCCTGCCATATCCCATTCTTTATTTTTTGGGGACTCCAAGTCCAGCCCCCAGACATTTTCTTCCAGCTCTTCTGTTAGCTCACAATGGGCACAGCAAACAGGGACAAGTTTCATGTCCCTAACCACATGGTTTTGTATAAAAGATTTAACTTTTTGTCACCCTACACACACACATAGCTGACCAATACATATGGTTTGGCTTTTCATTTTGAGTAAACATACCTATGAGTGCACTGCTTGAGGATCTTGAGCTATTTGAGCACAACTGTTTCTGTCCATTTTGTCCAATATTCTGAATTATCAAGGGGTAGTTGGCTGTTTGTTTCTCACACTGGAGCCAAAATGACCAGATACTCTGAAGTAACATTCACTGTTGATGAATTCAGCTCCAATAACTGGTTCAGTACCTGTCACAGTCAACACCCCCTGCCCTGCCACACCAATTGCCACTCTACCAGGAAACCCGAGGGTGTGTTTCCCAGCTTTGCCATTCTGCAATCCCAACCATTTCCAGCCAGCAGTCCAATGCATATGGAGAGCGTGAGGCAGAGGAGGGATGCTTTAGCACAACCTTTCATAGCCTGTCCTGGACAATTACCAGCCTGCATGGCCATTGGCCATGAAGGCTGGGGCTGATGGAAAGTGAAGTCTAAAACATCTGGCGGTCAGGGAAGGTTCGTGCAGCATAACTACGTATGATTCCATGTTTTTATTTTGGTTTTTCAGCTGTTTTCTCACTAGATCACTGCTGTCTTCAAATACTGAAAGCTTTGCTGCTTCATCTTGTTTTGTTTCTCAGTCAGGGTTCTTATACTTTCAACACCAGTGCAAGAGGCAAGTATTTAGCAAACTTTTCCCACCACTGAATCCCATCCACATAAACTTCAGGAAAAGTCTCTATTGAGGCTTTTTGGTCTGCCAGAGAAGTAGGAAAAGAAGATAGGACTAAGTTAATTCGACTGAGCTCTGTGTGTACAAAAGGCAATTCATATTCACGTAGGCACACTCTTTATCAGCCTTGCTGCAAGTGACTCACCAGTTATCTGTCACAGGAGGGGGCATGCGTTGGCACCAGTGATTTGCTGAAACACAATTGGACTGGGAGATTTTTAGTCCCCTGACCTTCCTGGGACCGGTTGGGGGTTGGTGTTCCCTGAGATTCTGCTCAGGTGCTGCTGGGTGCATACATCTGGCAGCTTTCTTGTAGGCCTTCTTCCACATTCCTGTCTGTCAGGGCGTGATTGTGCTTCCTTTGGAGGCCTACAGAGACACACAGCACAATCCTATGTATACCTGCTCAGAAGTAAATTCCACTGAGTTAAAAAAAAACAAACAACTTTTCCAGGTACGTTTTCATAGAAAGGTAGCCACAAGGAGAAGTTTCCCACATGCTTAGAAGAAAGATATGGCCATGGGCCAAATATAACCATGGGTGTTCAAGAGAAGATGAATGTTATCCATCTGATTTATACACTTACCTGACACTTTCCTGGCTCCGTGATGTACTAAAGCTCTACCTCACCAAAGCCTATTACAGCATCTTTTAAAAAAGATCTCCTGCTAAAGTATTTTCTGCATCCTTATCTTCTTTTCTCTAGGCTAAAGACATGCAGTTCCTTTAAACCTTTCTTCAAATGACAGATACCTCTTGAGCTCAGAGAGTTCTTCCAAATGGACAGCTCCTAGCACGAATAAATCATGACTTTTTTCTACAAGCAGGATGGCAACTGACTTAGCATACCAACAAGGAATATTTGTGCTTTCTCTGTGTATGGCCCACTAGGTTCTTTAGAAATGATTGCTTTTAGTGCTATTCTTCTTTTTCAACAGGCAAGAAGTTGATGTAAATAATGACTTATCAAGCAGCTGAACCTATTGCAGCTCAGCATAGATTCTCTATAACCTTTCCAGTAGACGAACTATTTATTTATTTAGTTAATTATTATAAATCTTTAATTAGCACTCAATCTCTTTTCTGGCTATGCTTTCCACTATGTGACCCATCTAGCTACAAGGCCTCAATCTTGTGAAATTCAGCCACATTGTACTTGTTCTCATCCAGCCCTTTCCCTATCATTATCACAAAGAATGAATATATGTCACTGTATTGGCTCTTAAAGTGTCCCATTGCTTTTTCAGGAAAAAAAAAATGTCCCAGGAACTAGAAATGATGAGATTCTTATCCCCAAGGGGGCAGGTGAGATGTCAAATCTCAGCATGTGATTGTCTTAGTGATCCGGTTAGAAAAGAAAATTGACTGTACATCATTTGACTGTAAAAAACATATCCTCCCCAAACCACTGAACCCATGTGTTTTCCATATGTGCACCATCTTTCCTGCTTTTACTATCTCATGCTGAAATCTTTGCACCTTTATGATTATAGAAAATCTGAAATTTCCTGGGGAAGGTACATTTTGTTGATTCTTGCAAGAAAATAATTCTAGTTGCTTTATAAATAACCACAATTCCAGTTGGCTTTCTATGCTTTAATATTAATGGAGAAATATTCGCTTTTTCATGCTTCGTATTGAAGATGATAAAACAATGAAAAAAACTGATTCTCTCAACTAGCAAGACTATGGAGCACTTTAGGAAAGAAAGAAGGACGTAACTGAAATCTCCATTATTAAAAAATAAAATCCTTTTTTACTTTGAGTGATGGGAGAAAGCATCTATTTTTAATGTTCAGCCATTTGTAGGATTCTAATAAAACTCTCACTAGAGACATGGATAGAAAATATTTTAACATGGAAACGGGGAGGAAATGTGTTCCTTACCAGTTAAACATAGTTACACAAGTAGAACTGCACATGCTTGCAATTTAAGAGTCAACCTAGATCAGACTAATACCTCTCTAGCTTAGCATTCTTTTTGCACCATGGCTAAGCAGATATCAAGGGGAAGCCTAAAAGAAGGATATGAGGTCAGTAACACCATACTGATCATGTTCTCCAGCAGCTGGTATTAAGAGGCAAACAGCTTCTGATATTGAAGGTAATATTAGGCATCATAATGAACAGCTGTTGATAGCCTTATCCTCTGTGAATTTGTCTAATCCCCTTTGAAATTTGCCCAAGTCCATGTCTATCACTACATCTTGTAGTTAAGAATTAATAATGGGCAGCCATGAATGTGCAGATATGTAACTCTAACGGATAATGACTCGAGAGCATTTTTTGTAGACAGAAGTGGTTAAGTGCGTGGGTGCACGGAGTCAGTGTGCTTGCCAATGCATGTTTGGCTGATGTGGTGTAGAAATAGTGTAATCCTTTATAGGATTACACTATAAATTCAAAGGTGCATGCTCTAAGTGTACAACTAATGGTAGCACTTTCATTCTACTGAAAAAGGAGAAGGACCCTTTCCTTGACAAGACATATGAAATTACCAGTATTACGATAAAGGCAGTGGAAATATTCAGTATGGCATTCTTAACAGGGATTGTTGTACTGTGGTTTTGGTACAGCATCTGTTTTCTTTTCCTCTCATCCTTGGCTTTTTTATACCCCTTATTCTAAATTGTGTGAAGATTGACTATAGCACTCTTCTGCACTGCTGCTGTCCAGTTTCCAGTTCTGAGGATTTTTTGTCACTCCCCATAGGCTTGTAAATTTCATGGAATACTACTCTGAGCTACAATGCAGGCACACACACGGAAGGAAAATGCACAAATGTGTTGTAGTGGTACTTAATGGGACACAAATTACAATCATGTCATTCTCCTTTTAAAATGGCCTGCTGCATAGCATGTAGGATAGGTTGGGCACTCTACATTCCCTGTGGAGGCCTTGGTGGCATCTGTCATCTCATTCGAGAGCCTGATGAGTCACCAGGCACCCCACTTCAGGGAGAAACTTGGCTGTCCTTCAAATACCTTCCATGCCTGAAGCCCTCCCTTCTAGGCCTTCAGCCTAAGACTCCCCCACCACACAGCTTCTGTCAAACAACAGCATAAAATCATCATGAGCTCTTCAACAACTACAGCTAGTAACCAGTGGGAGTGGAACCGCTCTGGATGTCCAGAGTCTGTCAGTCTTCTTAATGGCTCAGTTGTCTATGTAGTCCCTTGCTAGCAGATAGCTTTCTCTGTGGCGGAGCACTCAAGTAACCTTTGAAATATGTCATCCAGGGTCCTGACAGGTCCTTACCTTGCAGGGACTCCTGGACCTGACTACGCTTAAATTGACTGTGACCCTGTTTACTGGGTATGAGCCTGCTTTACTGGGTGTGATCCCTGTGTATGATTGAAACATCTGTGAGTGGTATGTTCTACTTGCTCCTCCCCTGGGCATCAGGCTCTCCCAGATCCCTCAGAAGCCACCCACAGTGAGCATCTGCACAAGTGTTTGGATTCAGCCAAGAGAAATGTCCTGGTTATCGAGCTAGACAAAATGGTAGTGCTAAGGGCATCTACAACTATCATGATTGTGCTCTTCTGCCCTTTGTAAAAAAAACCATACTTACTGCTGTAAGAGAAAAAAAGTTAGGAACAGCACTGGGGAGAAAATGGAAAGATTACAAATGGTTGAGGTCACAGTTGCATCCCCCCATAAAATGTGAGCAAACACATGACAATCCTGCAAGAGATGCCTTGTTTGGAAGCAGCCTGAATCTTTTCTGATTTAGTAACATGTTTGTAGAATTTCGGTGCTCCCAGTGGCATTACTAGTGCTGAATTATCGATAAAGCATAACATTCCTGCCTGAGCCTTGGAGAGCATTGTTCCACCATCTAGAATGCTATGACAGTGTCTCAAGTTGACACTGACTCAAGTTGTTTTTCATCGTAAGCCCAATCTTCTTCATCATACATTGGCACAATTAGGCTTCTTTTCTACACTTAATTAGGGTTCTTTCTGAAGTTTGCAATGACATTTAAGGAAGGCCAAGTGTTGTCATCAGGCTGCTTTCCAATCCGCTGCAATCATTTTGTATTTTTGTTGGTCATGTAAAAAGGATGTTCTGAAGGGGAATGAAGGCACTTCCACAGTGCATGGCATAACTTTGCCAGCATGCTACCACCCTTTGAGGTCTGGTCTGGGCCTACTGATTATGCTACACTACCTCTGATACTCTTGTTAAGAAACCTGGGAATCAACAGGTACCCAGGGAGATTTAGATGATGATGATATCGTCGTGGTCATCATATCATCATCATCATCATCTAAAAACTGAAATAACTTTTGTTAGGAGTTTGGAAGAACAGTGAAGGTAGTGACAAGACAGATGAATGGAAAAAACAATTAATGTAAATTAGACCCTTGGAAATGTAGACAATGAATGTAGAACTGAATGCTACAGGAAAGGATCTGCAGCTGGCTCTTATGTATGTGCATTTAAATATACTGGGTACAAAAGAAATCCAAACAATGATATAACATGCCTCATTACTACACGCAGAGGGCAAAACAGTTAATACTGAGATGGAGGAACTGGCTGTGTTCAAAACAGTTCCAGATTAATTATGGAAAGAAGTGGGATGATGCATTCATGCCACATAACGATGATGAACTACTTCCTGTTCCAACTGTATCAAAGGATTGTTGTTATACATGGGGACAAGCAAGTTTAAATATGCAGGCCAGACAGCATGTTCAAGCCATATTCTGTATCTTTGAAGACAACCCTAATCAAAAACAGCAGTTATTATATTTCCACCTCATATCTTTTCTTTTTGCAGCAAACCTTTACAGTGCTAGCATCAGGTAACTTCTTCCAAATGTTGCAATACTGACCAAACCCATCCCTTATATAAACACAATGTCTGAATGCACTACAAACTTTCTGGAAGCCTTTGCTTGGGTGTAGCTAAAACAAAACATTAACAATCAGCTGCTGTTTTTCTTTGGTGTTTTTATATTCAAAAATTTGCTCCCAAAATCATGGCAATGGCAAGTGCAGTTAATGCAATAATCTCCACTCAAAGACTGAGCGTGAGTAAGTGCAGGTTGTCATTGAACTGTGGGTTTTGCTGAAACACAGGTTATTGCATTCAAAAACCAGCTACACTACAATCCATGGCTTGTTAACCACAAACAGCCCAAGAAGAAAGCCTGTGCCTTGTTTTTGACTTGTGAACTGCAGGTTGTTAATCATGGTTTGCTATCTCAGCTGACTTATTTTTATTTATTTATTTATTTATTTATTTATTTATTAAAACATTTTTATGCCACCCCATTCGCCGAAGCCTCGGGGCGGCTTACAACAATAAATTAAAACATCATAAATAACATTTTAAAATATATACATTAAAATAAAA